AAGCTTTTAAGCCCAGGCTAAAATAGCCAAAAAAGCCAAAAAGCCAAAAAGCCAACCCACTTCCCAAACGGAGGCTATTAATTTATTTCATAATTGCCAAAAATAGGCCAAAATAATTATCTTCTTTTCACAGGAAGAAGATATAAAAAGGCCTACATGAGAAATAGGAAAAAAAAAAAAGGAGAGAAAGTAGAGATGGCGCCGAAAAAACGGAGAAGCGATGAAGGTGAAGAACAAGAAAAAATGCCTGTGATTCTGAAACGCGAGTTGATGGTGACTCGGAGCTCTACTCTCCGACCCAACGGTAACTCGGCCACAGACTCGTTGAGCTCCCCAAACCCAAATCCAAACCCAGGAAAGCCAAAACAAGCGCCAAGGAAGACCTAAAAGAACAAAAAGTACAAGTACAAACCGCAGAGGTTAAGGCTGTTGCTGATGATAGTTTTAAGACCATCGTTATCGAGCATTGGTAATTTTTAATTTCCTTTTCCTCATTCTGATTTTTTTTTTTTTTTTTCTTTCTTAAAGTCAAAGCATAACTGTTATTCATGTGAAATTTTTTAAACATAATATGGTTTCGGCACAGGGATAAAGGGTTTATGCGTATATATATATATTATTTGAAAAGCAAAGCTATTTTGCTACGTTTTTATTAATAAATTAATATAAAATTTAAAATAATATTTTTTTAAAAATAATTATTAATCTTCATATTAAAATAATTTTAACTCAAAATAATTTTTGACATCTACTGTAAACATTTTTAATGAATTTTGACCCAAAAAAAAAAAAAAACTACAATGGAACATAAGTTAAAATTGATGAGATTAAGAATAAAGTGAGATCTTATCTAAATCACAAAGACTAATTGTGTAATTTATCATAATACAGTGATATTAATAAGGGTTGATAGTCCACTAGGTTATCAATAAAAGGAATAAAATATCAAAAAAAACATTAGAATTTCCATACAATTTGTACACATTCTTCAAATTTTTACAAATTGGCTTGTTCAGTACAATGTTATGTTTACAAATCTTCTTTTATATTTACAAATTTTGAAAATTATAAACAAAAACTTATTTTGTGTCTATTTTAGATTTTGAAAATTTGTAACATTTCAAAAAAAAAAAAAATGTCTACATTTCTGTACCCAAAAAAAAATAATAATTTCACTTGTTTAGGAAATAAAAACCCTTCTTCTCGCACCCCTTGTGACTATCCCCACCTCTAGCAACTATCTCTTGCAACCTATAACTCCTTTTGGTTGCAGCTAAACCATATTTTGCTTGCAGTTAGGACTATGTAAAATATCGTCAAATCTGTTAAAATCGCACTGATCTGCATCAACTCGAACTGTTCTAACCACTAATCGCGGTTTAAATTTTAAAATTTATGATTCGCCTTTCAAACCGCTTCGCTTTATTATAATTAATACATATATATTTTTTAACCTCTAATGAAATATCAATGTAAGAATGCATGTGAGATAGATTTAAGATATGAAATTTATTACAAATTAATAATTATATTTATGAAACATATTATATAAAATTACTTTGTGTTATATATATATATATATATATATATAATATTATACAAATTATTGTTATATCTGATGTAAATATATGATAATTAGTTAGAATATTTTTCAATTTGTCAATCCGTCAAAAATCGTCCAAACTGCAATTTGACAATCCACAAATCTACCAACCTGTCATTCGATTTGTAGTTTTACTCTCAAACCGCCTAAACCATACTACGCACACCCCTACTTCCAATAACCATCTTATGCTTGTAACCACCTTTGACTATCATCTTTAGGGGTGTTTTGGGCTATTTTGAAAACTTAGCTAAAAGTTAATTTTTGACTTTTAATGTATTTTGAGCTATATTATCTTTCTATTTTTACACATTTTTCAAAAAAAAAAAAATATTTTAAAAGTTCGCTTTTAACCATCTTCTTTACTCTTTTTTTTTTTTGGTTTATTTTCATCTTTAATGATTTTTTTTTTTAAATTTCAAAAAGTTTTAGGTCTCTAGATTCAGCTCAAGGCGAACTGAAAAATTATAATATTTTATAAAAATACACATAATAATATACAATAAATTATATATTTTTCGAACTGAGATTAAATAATATTAGTATAAGAAATCAATTGTTTTTTCTTGTTCAAATATATTTTTTTGTTGGCTTGTTTAGGTTGCTCTTTTTGTCTTTAGTTGATTTAAAAAAAAAATTTGACAAAATTTTAAAAAAATTTCCAAAAAAAAAAAACAAAATTTTTTTTTTTTTTTTTTTGGGGCCAAAATGGGCCTTAATGACTAGCTACTAGGAATGACAACGGGTCGGGGGAGCCGAGGATGACACTTCCCGTCTCCAATCCCCAAAGATAAAAAAATCCCCATCCCGATCCCTGATGGGAAAGCCATCACCTCCTCCGCCCCCCCTAACGGGGATCGGGTTTCCCCGACCCTGAAAAATCTCTGGCAGATCTGTTCAACACACACACACACACAAGAACAACAAAAAAAAAATTTTTATTTGTATATGGATAGATTTGTTCATCAACAACAGATCTAGAATGACAGATTTGTTCATCAACAATAGATTTGGACAGATTTGTGTATATAGACAGATTTTTTCATCAACAACAATCATCAACTTAAAAAAGAAAAAAAAAGATTTGTTTATTATACACACACACACACACATATATATATATACAATCAAGATGGAACTTGTGTGAAAGTAACATATATATATATAGAGAGAAAGATAGAGAAAGAGAGAATTGGGCGTTGATTCCTCTATCGGCACCGGTACCGGCACCGGCACCGACGAGTCCATTGATCAAGACATCGGACCACGATTTGTTTAGATCGGTGGCTTCACGGTTCACGGACCACGATCTGTTCAGATCGGTGGCTTCATGGTTGAGATCAGTGGTTTCACGGTGGTGGATTTGGATGATGATGATGATGATAAGAAAAGAGAGAGAGAGAGAGAGAGAGAGAGAGAGAAATTTGAATGAGTGAGTGAAAAAGAGAAAGATAAGAGATGCGGTCTGAGTGAGCGAGTGAGATGATAGTAGGATTTGGTTTTTATATATACATATAGAGGGGTAAAATAGTAATTTCACTTCGGGGACTAACGGGGACGGAGATAGGCCAGGTACGAGGCTAGGACACTTATCCCCATCTTTGGTCTGAAATTGATCGGAGATTGATTTTTGAATACCATTCCCGTCCCGTTGGGGATATTTTTCGAAAAAAAACCGCTCAAATCGGGGTCAGGGGGTCGAGTTCCCATCGGGCTGAGTTCAAATTGCCATCCCTACTAACTACTAGTGTTCAAAATCCTATTTGGCACCGCTAACCGTGCCCTATTAGCAAGAACTACTTTCATAAACGGTTTTTGATGGCCAACAATAAAATCTTGCCATTATTACTAGGGCTTCGTTTAAAAAGTGGTTTCATTTTTGGGAAATTTAGTTAAAACTCTTCTATTGGACCATTGTTTGGTAAAGATGATAACCTAATTTATTTTTTTTCATAAACTCCCTAAGGAGAAAGCGCATAATTGAGTAAGGACAAAGTAAAATATTTTTTTTTCTCCTTTCTTTTTTGGATAATATTGTCAGAGTAATATGTTACTATCAAATAGAGTAATTGTCAAACAAAGTAACATGTTATTGTTACTGTTTACATCAATTTCAATGGTAATAATTTTTTTAATAAAGAATTTCATACTCAACATAGATCTTATTTGATAGATCTTGATGAGAGAATTCTAAAAATATTAATTTTATTAAAAACCGACATCTAAGTTATATTATTTTAAACTTTAATATTTTGATAATAATAATATTTGTTGGACTTTTCAAAGAAAACTATTTGTATTTGTCCTTAATGCATTAAAATTTTATTATGATTGGATTTTGACCAAATTCCTCTTGATTTTTTAATTTTTTAGTTATTTTATTTGAGATTAAAAAAATCGGGCAAATTACATATACCTCCCTCGAGATTTGGTTAAATTACAGATACCCCCTGAGGTTTCGAAAATTACATCCCGCCCCTTGAGGTTTGTATTTTCATAACAATTTGCCCCCTGAGGTTTATATTTCATAACAAATTATCTCATAATTTGTTATGCAAATATAGCATTCAGGGGGAAATTTGTAATTTCTCAAACCTCAGGGGGTATTTGTAATTTAGCCAAATCTCAAGGGGTATATGTAATTATAACATTTTATTTTATTAATTTTTTAACTTATTTTATTATTATTTTTGTTATTATTTTAGCCAAAAAAAACTCCTTTAACCTATCTACCAAACGAATTCTATATTTGACTGTCACCAATAACATTTACCATCACTTATTTTCAAATTATAACAAATTAAATTTTAAAATATATATAACAAACGATTTTTGTTTTTAAATTTTAACAAAAAAACATATTTAATTTTTTTTATATAAAATAAAAATAATAAATAAACTGTAAAACTTACCCAACACCACCTCGGGGTCTTTTGGAAAAAGGGTAAAAAATCAATTTTTAATTTTTTTATTCATTTTAAGTCACATTATTTTTTATATTTTTTACTTACAAAAGATAAAATAAATTATAAAAATTAAAAAGGGCAATGGTAGAGGGCCACAATTTTTGTGGCTCAAAACTGTCAAAACGACGTCGTTTTGAGCACAAAACATGCCAAAACGACGTCGTTTTGACAATTTTAAACCATTTGAGCCACAAAAACTGTGACCCTCAAACATTATTCAATTAAAAAATTATTTTTTTACCAACTTTTTCAAAACACTCCCTTATAATACGACGTTTATTTTTGCAATGGCCCGTCCAAATCTGAACCTCCTTTAAGAATCCTTAGGCGTCTGATCTAACTCTATTTATTTTTATTTATACTGTTTATTCTCCACAACACATTGATTTAAAACTCTTACCACTACTACAACTACTTTACACTAGTGTCATTCTCTCTCTCTCTCTCTCTACATTCTCTTTCTAGAACAAGCCATGGCTCGGAACCCTGCGTTCGCTTTTGCATTTCTGTTCTTCATAGCGACCGGCGTCGGAGCTCAGTCTCCGGCTTCTTCTCCGACCAAAACTCCGGCGGCTACAGTGACTCCTTCCTCACCTCCTGCGACTGCGCCTTCGAAGCCTACATCTCCGGCCCCAGTGAAGACACCTTCGAAGCCTAAATCTCCGGCTCCCGTGACAGCTCCAACTTCCTCACCTCCTAAATCTCCAGCGCCTTCGAAGCCTAAATCTCCGGCGCTTTCGAAGCCTAAATCTCCAACTCCTGTGATGGCTCCAACTTCAGCCCCGCCTACAGCGATCTCAGTTCCTCCAGCTACGGCTCCGACGACACCAACTGTTCCAGCTCCTGTATCATCTCCGCCAGCCAAGACACCAGTGAGCTCGCCACCGGCTCCGGTTCCGATAAGCTCTCCTGCTACGGCTCCGGTCACCACGCCAGCTGTTTCTCCGGCCACCGCGCCAGCTGTTGCTCCTCCGGTGCCGGCTTCTTCTCCTCCGGCTGTGGCTGTTCCATCGCCGGCTCCGAGCAAGAAGAAGACTAAGAAGAAGCACAATGCACCTTCGCCGGCACCGTCTTCAGAGATGCTCAGCCCTCCTGCACCGCCGAGCGAAGCCCCTGGTCCGAGTTCTGACTCGATCTCGCCCGGTCCAGCTCTGGCAGATCAGGTGCGTACTCTATGCTCGCTTATCTTTTGTTCATTGCTTCTAAAATGCGCTTTGTGCCAAATATACATCCAGATCTGCATTGAAAGTTACATTTCCATGAAAATAGTTGTTTGTTTATCTTCAAATTCGTGTTGAGCCATTGCTCTCATGCGCACGTAAACAGTTGAGAACGGTGCAGTGTGTCGGTTTCATAGCAAATGGTGACGATGTCCCTCACATAATTCTAGGCTGTGTTAGGAATTGAGTAAAAATTTAAAAGAGAATAAAAAAATGATTAAAATGTAATTATATTTTATTTATATTTTTAATTTTTAAATTTTTGCCTAAATTTATTCATGGAACCTGAACACAATTTTAGACCGCTTGCCTTCTAGGCATGTGAGTTGAGGCTCCAATTACATTTCCTTGAGGCGTTGTGATGACAAACGCGTCAATTTTTTTCAAATTTTCGCTTAAATTCTTAATTTTAAATTTAATTATTTTAATAGTACAATTTCACATAATTTTTATCAATAACTTTAACAGCTTTAGTACTCGATCCTTATCAATCAATGTTCTTCCAATTTTTCTTTATTAAAATTGAAAAAATTGAATGAAATACAATTGCATGGATAGTTTTGTTTCCGCCGACAATTAAGTGACATGAATGTGTTGTCCACGCGCCTTCATAGTTTGTGGGGCTTCTTCTCTGTTATTGTTTGGGCTGTGAACAGAAACAGCTGAATCCAAACAAATGTGGAACTCAAAATGTTATGAAATCGAGTAAAAACTAGTTGTTGCAGAACCCGAGGCAAAGACAGCTATAATAATGGGAGGGTGAGGGCAAATGAACACGGATCAGGTGCATGATAGCACAGTGACATTATTCTCACCGTCTACTTTTAGTTTAGTAGATCTAATTAATTAAGCGCGTTTAGATGGGGGTTGATTTTTTTATTTTTTAATTATTTTAGTTTGGAATTAAAAAAATTTGTTTAGAATAGGTTTTTTTGGCTTTTTCAGCTTTTGTGAGAAAAAAATAATGAATTAAATGTGATATTTTATCCTATTTGATTAAAATAACATATTTTGTCATAGGAAAATGATTTGTAACCCTAAAAAAGTTGCCCCTAATATCCCTAATTTCCAATTTTGGAAACTGTTTTCTTTTTTTCTTTCTTTTTTCCTTTTTTTTTTTTTTTTTTTTACCTGAAATGGAATTTCGGGGCATTCGGGCTCCCCCATTTCGGGCCCTCAATCACTGCCCTTTGTCATATATGAGTATTTTAAGCCAAAACATCTTCCCAAACAAGCTCTAAATATTTCTTGGATTTTTTTGGGAAAATTTTATCCGTATGTAGAATGGATTGAAAAATCTTTGGATTTTGCCCTATGATAAATATATGCATATGCAGAGTGGGACAGAGAAGTTGAAGTGCATGCAGATGGTGGTCGGAAGCTTGGTGTTGGGATGGGCTGCCTTCTGTTGGTTGTTCTAGACTAGTCTTGGTTACTACTCTCTCTCTCTGTGTCTCTCTTGCTTCTTTTTTATCTTTTATTTTTTATTTTTAAATAATTGATGTGTCCCCATGTTTACTTTTGTATAATTATTCATTGGCTTGATTTGGATCTTATGTGGGTATTTATGCACATTGGCTTTGTAATATTAGGAGTGTTTGGGTCAAAATTACATTTAAATGGGGACAATTTAAAATATAAGTTTTTATGGAAGTGCAAGTGAAATTTTATTCAAATTCGGTGCATGTAAAAATTATGTCATAAAACATAGTTTTCATTTGCAGTTCTATAAAAATACAATTATTTTGTATTATTCCTATTAAATATAATTTTTACCCAACAGTTTGAGGGAAACCATATGATTTTTATATTGGCTGTTGTTACTTTTAGTTTGGTAGATCTAATTAATTAAGCGCAATTACATCTGGGTTGATATTTTGATTTTTTAATTATTTTAATTTGGGTTTAAAAAAATTGTTTAGAATAGGTTTTTTGGCTTTTTCAGTTTTTGTGGGAAAAAAATAAAATGATTATGAATTGAATGTGACATTTTATCCTATTTATTAAAATAACATATTTTGTCATATATGAGTATTTTAACCCAAAACATCTTCCCAAACAAGCTCTAAATATTTCTTGGATTTTTTTGGGAAAATTTTATCTGTATGTAGAATGGATTGAAAAATCTTTGGATTTTGCCCTATGATAAATATATGCATATGCAGAGTGGGACAGAGAAGTTGAAGTGCATGCAGATGGTGGTCGGAAGCTTGGTGTTGGGATGGGCTGCCTTCTGTTGGTTGTTCTAGACTAGTCTTGGTTACTACTCTCTCTCTCTGTGTCTCTCTTGCTTCTTTTTTATCTTTTATTTTTTATTTTTAAATAATTGATGTGTCCCCATGTTTACTTTTGTATAATTATTCATTGGCTTGATTTGGATCTTATGTGGGTATTTATACACATTGGCTTTGTAATATTAGGAGTGTTTGGGGCAAAATTACATTTAAATGGGGACAATTTAAAATATAAGTTTTTATGGAAGTGCAAGTGAAATTTTATTCAGATTCGGTGCATGTAAAAATTATGTCATAAAACATAGTTTTCATTTGCAGTTCTATAAAAATACAATTATTTTGTATTATTCCTATTAAATATAATTTTTACCCAACAGTTTGAGGGAAACCATATGATTTTTATATTGACTGTTGTCTTCCCTTTGGACCATCCAAGAGCACTAACATTTTTCTCATCCTTACCTTTATTTACGAATGATTTGGCATATTATGTATAAGGAAGATCAAAATAATTGTCTCAGTTATGAAAGTTATGAAGGTTGTGTTTGGCTTATGTATTTGTGAAGAAATTTGAAGAGAGCGAAAAAGAAAATGGAAATGAGAAATGAAGTAAAATATATATATATATATAATTGCATTACACATTTGGTAATAATTTAAATTACACATTTAGTAATAATTTAAAAATTCAAACACCAGAAAAAAAAAAAAAAAAATTGGCACTATTTACATGGTGTAATGTTGTCATTTCAGCATGTCTTTTACTTTAGAAACAGAAGTGAACGAAGCGGCAGGACCTCCTTCCTACGTTCAATTCTAAGTACTCTACTCAACTCTCAGCGGCTATGATGGAAGTACTTTTGATTGATTGGTGTCTCTTCTTCTTTAACTTGTTCCATTACTATGAGAAGTATATAATTAATTTAAAGAAATCTAAAATTGATTGAGAAAAATTCCAAATAAATGTATCCAATCCATATACCAAACCGTATGATTAGTAGTAAAACCCATTGTTTATGTGGATGTTTAAGAGATAAGTAATGACTAAGATCATCTCCAACATTATTTATTTTATCAAATTTGAGTAAAAATTTCATTTGATATCCTGCCTTTCAACGGAGTACTTTTGGTTGTCATCAACACATCGATATCCAGCCCTTCAATCGACAAAAGTAATCTTTCCCCACTTTGAGTATGCTTTGCTTTGGGTTTTCTAGCAATAAGCAAATGACTGGGGGATATCTAGTTGGAGCCTGAAGTATCAAATTCAGGAAATGGCCATTTTTGAACTCAGAATTGGTGAAATTTTTGATTCACGGTTGGAGATGCTCTTACACGGACTAATGTTGTCATTTCAGCATGTCTTTTACTTTAGAAACAGAAGTGAACGAAGCCGCAGGACCTTCTTCCTACGTTCAATTCTAAGTACTCTACTCAACTCTCAGCGGCTATGATGGAAGTACTTTGATTGATCGGTGTCTCTTCTTCTTTAACTTGTTCCATTACTATGAGAAGTATATAATTAATTTAAAGAAATCTAAAATTGATTGAGCTTCCGTTTGGGAAGTGAGTTGGTTTTTTGACTTTTTTGACTATTTTAGCCTGGGCTAAAAAGCTTGATTTGGGAAGGACTTTTTGACTTTTTGACTTTTTTGTGGGAAAAGAGTGTAATGATTATGGGTTGGATGTGATGTTTTGTTTTTTGTGGCTAAAATAGCCTATTTTGTCTTTTGTGGCTAAAATAACCAAAAAAGCCGAGAAAAGCCCTTCCCAAACGGACCCTGAGAAAATGTATCCAATCCATATACCAAACCGTATGATTAGTAGTAAAACCCATTGTTTATGTGGATGTTTAAGAGATAAGTAATGACTAAGATCATCTCTAACATCATTTATTTTATCAAATTTGAGTAAAAATTTCATCTGATATCCAACCCTTCAACGGAGTACTTTTGGTTGTCATCAACACATCGATATCCAGCCCTTCAATCGACAAAAGTAATCTTTCCCCACTTTGAGTATGCTTTGCTTTGGGTTTTCTAGCACTAAGCAAATGGCTGGGGGATATTTGGCCAGTCGTCCGATTTTGCAAAATCAACGGCACCAAACAGTAAAATACTGAAAGCTCTAGACGTCTTCTATTTCATGAAATATTTTTGATATTCTCAATTTGATACCTGTTTGATAAAACCGTTGAAGTTGAAAAAGTATTTATTTTTCATCAAATTCAAATTTAATGATGAATTTGATATAGGATTTGAGATGGTCTAACAAATTTGTTGTACAGTGGTATGGCCCAACTCTCATGAATAAGAAGTTGAGGATTCAACTCTCACAAGTTGTGTGGATTTGGTATAGGGAGGCTATACGTTTTAAAAAAAAAAAAAAAAGCAGTGAATAATGGGGAGACCAGTACTTTTGTACTAGTCTAATAGTAAGAATGTGACATTCTTTTTGGCATGAAATGTCCGAAAGCGAACAATAATTTTTTAGCAATAAGATGAGGGAATCTATTTACTTCCAACCGCAAGTCATTCTAAACCCGTAGGCAAAGTAAAGAAGAAAAAAAGTGAATGCGACCCAACATGCTTTTGTCAATTTCCATCTCATTTTATCCAAGGATTTTTTTTTCATTCGCTAAGAGATTAATTATAAATAAATAAAAGTATATTAAACGAAATGATTATGATTCAATATCACATAACTAGAACCCCAATAGCCTCATATAATGAAAAAAATACACACTTAAACTTGACAAGTAGTACATGAATAATTCAACAAGTAGCAGCTAGAGCCTAAACAAGTCCGGGAAAGTAATATACAACTTAAGTTCAACTACTCTAAAAAATAACAACCGGGAAAGTTATATACAACTCAAGTTCAACAACTACTCTAAAAAATAACATCCAAGGAATAATCAATCTTTATTTTATCCTTTAACAAAAAATATAATTTTATCCTCAATTAGCTGCACTCTTTACTAGGTGACAATCAACTTAATACAACACATTAACACATTTTATTTTTTTATTACAATTTTACCTTAATATAAAATATTAATTTTATCTTCATTCTTAACCTACCTTCCAAACCGAACCCTTACCCCACTCCACCCACCACCTGCAGCCACCCTTCCCAACCTTTTCCTCCTTCGCCACTTTCCCAATCCCTTCTCCCACGAACGGTGTCCCTCCTTAGCACCCTCATCTTCCTCGACAACCCTGCCCCACCCGATACCCATCCACCCACCAACCCACCCGACCTTAGGCACCACCACCTTCTCACCTTCTTCATCATTGTTGTGAAGCCCTAGTCATGCCTCTCCTCCTATGAAATTTTATCTATGAATCTCTATCTATTAATCTCTAAGAAATTGTTCCTTAATGAATATTTTGATTAAAATGTGTTTGTTCCTTTTTTAACCTTTGAGATTATGTATTCAAGTCATAAAATAACTACTTTGTGCACCATACCAAAAGTAAGATGTGTACTCAATCTTTTCCTTTCCAAATACATATTAATGTGTACTAATTTAACGTTATTTTTTAATGTGTTTATTCCTTTTTCATAAAATTTAGAATTGAACTTTACCTTCACCATTGGCTTTTAGGTACACTATCGTGATTCAATCTCCCCCTTTCACCAATTTAAAACTTTGGCAGCAACCTCTGCAATGCTTTTATTGCTATTTTATGGCCTCCATCCACTTGCTACTCACTTAATTGCCGAATATAGTGATCTTCACAAGTCCCTCCATTACCATACATTGTCTGGATTTTAACTCTCATCTCATCTCCTCTCATCTTTTTTCAGGATGGATAAATATTGTAATGTTATACCTCATTAAAAATTATAAAAAAAGAAAAAAAAAAAGCCACTACTGACATTCTCACTTTTGATTAGAATGTGTTTGTTCCTTTTTTAACCTTGAGATTATGAATTCAAGTCACAAAATAACTACTTTGTGAACCATACCAAAAGTAAGATGTGTACTCAATCTTTTCCTTTCCAAATACATATTAATGTGTACTAATTTAACGTGATTTTTTAATGTGTTTATTCCTTTTTCATAAAATTTAGAATTGAGCTTTACCTTCACCATTGGCTTTTAGGTACACTATCGTGATTCAATCTCCCCCTTTCACCAATTTAAAACTTTGGCAGCAACCTCTGCAATGCTTTTATTGCTATTTTATGGCCTCCATCCACTTGCTACTCACTTAATTGCCGAATATAGTGATCTTCACAAGTCCCTCCATTACCATACATTGTTTGGTTTTTAACTCTCATCTCATCTCCTCTCATCTTTTTTCAGGTTGGATAAATATTGTAATGTTATACCTCATTAAAAATTATAAAAAAAGAAAAAAAAATGCCACTACTGACATTCTCACAATTTTTTTGGATTAGCCTACAATTTTAGATTAGTCAAATTCTAACGTGAATAAATTCACTTTTATGGGGATTATTAGGCAAGCCTGAAGCCAGATGTCCCCATATTTTGAGCACTGCAAGGTGCTTAACACTAACTCATCATGTGGCTCAAAGGCCTACGACCTCGTCCAAGCCTGCATGGCCCATTGGCCTTTTCCCTGCCTGAGCCCGTGGCCTGGGCCGGCTGAAAACAACTAGAAGATATATTAAAACTCCAAAAACATGACAGAGATGAGTGAGAAAGTTGTGTCCAGTTTTGTCATCAATTTTTATGTTCCTATAGACTTTGGTAAAGGGCACAGCCCACAAAGCATCCGACAATGGAAAATCTCCAGAGCACAGGTTTGCATTAATATATATACAGAGAGAGACGGAAAGACAACAACAATAACAATATAATATGTATATATATAGTCACATGTCACAAAACAACCACTACAACAATAATGAAAGAAACAGCAACAGATAAAACGGTCGATAAAATAAACACGATTATTAATCTGCAATTGTCTGGCCAAAATTCAGATTATACAAGGCTCAAAGACTAAACTTACAGGTATATTTAAAATAAAATAATAATAAAAATTTCCCAAATTCACATATGAAGTTATATTCATCAGAGGACTCAATCAAGCCTTCCACAGATCATTTTTGTATTTTTCATTTTCTTATCAAATCAAGAAACATTCGAGAAATAGAACCTTCACAAGCATTATTTGCAACATCAGAAGATGTACATAAAACATATAGAATCTTACCACAAAACATTGGATACATCCATAGGTCATTTTTTGGTCAGCCCCTCCCACCGTTACCATGTCGTTGGGTCCTAAAGAAGCTAAGCAGTGCCTGAGCCTGCAACCAATTAAAAACTTAATGCATTAGTATTCCAAAATAGAAGGGCTTTAATTACACTAATGGTCCCCAAAATGTACATTCATTAGTCCCCAGAGTATACATCTTGTTACACTTTAGTTCCTAATCTTTTGGTTGTTCCAACTTTGGGTCCTCAAAGTATGTGATTTGTTACACTTTAGTCCAAAACGTCAGCGTCATTCAAAATCAATAACAACAGGATATTTTTGAAATCTTACAAGCCTCAACAAAATCAAAATAACCAAATACTAAAAGTATCCATTTTGTAACATTTTGGTTCCTACAATATCTGTTTTGTCTTATTTTAGTCTCCAAAATATGTACTTTCTTGCATTTTTCATTTTTCATCTTTAATCTTCTAATTTTGTTTTATTTATTTATTTTTTGTAAAATTATGAAAATACCCCTTCTGATATTGATTTTTGGACATTGCTGATGCTAGGGACTAAAGCGGAACAAATTGCAAAAACAATTAAAAGATTAGAGATTAAAGTGTATAACATAATACATACTTCGGGAACTATTTGTGCAATTAATTTGAAATAGAATTTTAGCTAAACACATGAGGAAGGGGGGGCGTGTAAAGAAGTATACCTTTTCTTTGGTTCGTGGGGTGCCTGACTGTGACAATACCACTAATGGGGGTAGATTATACATAATACATACTTTGGGAACTATTTGTGCAATTAATCTGAAATAGAATTTGGCTAAACACATGGGGAAGAGGGGGCGTGTAAAGAAGTATACCTTTTCTTTGGCTCGTGGGGTGCCTGACTCTGACAATACCACTAATGGGGGTACAACACCTTCTGAAATTACCAGGCTACAGAATCGATTGCTGTTCGTGCAAAGCTGCAGAAGAGCAGCTGCTGCATTCTCTTTTCCTCTTGCAGAACCCAACTCAATTACCTCAACCAGAACTGGGATCGCTCCCTCCTGGCCAATAGCAATCTTTCCCTCCTGAATAGTAGCAAGATTTGCCAAAACAGCAACCGCTTTATCAACCATCCCAGCCGCAGGATCCATCATTTCTACAAGGTATTTCACAGCCCCAGCCTGCACAATCCGAGTTTTGTTTTCATGAAATATTGACAAATTAAATAAAGCTGTAGCCGCGTCTTTCTTTCCCCTAGGAGTCCCATTTCCCAGTAAGTCAACTAGAGGTTTTATTGCCCCGGACCTTCCGATCGTGACCTTGTTATCCTCAATAACCGAGAGACTAAAAAGAGTGGCAGCTGAGTTCTCCCTAGCCACAGGGCTACCTGTCTCAAGAACATGAATCAGGGGTTCAATTGCATTAGCATTGGCAATTACAGTTTTGTTGTTATCATTAATTGATAAGTTGAGAAGTGCAGTAACGGCATTTTCTTGAATCATTGTGTCAGTTGAATAGAGTAGATCAACCAACAAGCTAATGGCTCCACAGCTTGCAATTGCGATTCGGTTATCCATATTATGTTTGGCAAGTAGCCTAAGTTCAGCTGAGGCATTTCTTTGCGCATCGATTGAAGTGCTCCTCAAGTCCTCAGCAAGCCTCCTGACTTGGCTTTGAACTTCAGAAAGATCAGCCCTTGTTTCAATGGCAGGTGAAGAAACTATCCTTGGAACAAACCACCTTTCAGGACGGCGCCACATTGATTGGCTTCGAGATCTTGTCTCCAATCTTAGTGGAACCTCACGTTGTCTCTGTGGGGTGGTCAAGGTGCTAGCAGCTTGTGGCTCTGATGGAAGCTCCCCAGAAGTATCACTATTGTAGGCTGTTGCTGGTGAAGACACATTGTTGCCATCAGCCAACATCCCTTGTGAAATATTCGCACTAGAAAGTGCACTGGACGCTGCGGCAGTTCGATTATGGCCATGAGACAACCGTTCATCAGCCACACAAGCACTAGAAAGTTCTGTTCTTGATGGTGAAATGGGGGGTTGGCTACCTGATTCCAAACCTAGCTCTCCTGAGTTAGCCAGCCTGTCTTCAGAACTATTTACTGATAATCTATCAATATCCAATCCATGCCCATTTCCATCTGAAGATGAACGGGGATGTGATGGAGAGGTTCCCTCTTGATGGCCTCCACTAGATGAAATTAGGTTCTTTCTAGGTGAACCTGTAGACCGAGTTGATTCGGGTGACATATGTTGGTTGCTTCTTGAATGAGGAAGGATATGCGGATCCTTGGAGGCAATATTCTCAGCATGTGCAAGTAAAGAAGGCTGGTTCAAGCTCATAGACTTCATGGGATCAGGCAACTTCACATTGTTTGTTTCACACCAATTTGCAATCAATTGCTTTACAGTGTAATTAGGAATAAGATTGGTGTGGGTCAGGGTTTGCCGTGTCTTAGGGCAAACAATAAGCCCAAGATCAATCCATTTCCTGATAGAAGCTCGCTCATAGGTTTGTCCTGAAGCCACAATAACTGGATCCGTCATCAGCTCAAGTGAAAGGGGGCAGCAGAAATCAGCAGGTATCTGAAGAGGGTTAGAGCTCTGAGATTGTTTCATCATAACAAGGCGCTCATGCATGTGGATAACAAGAGCAATCATTTGATCAAAGTACTCTGCTTCACCGTTCCTTTCAGCTTGTTCAGCGTTCTCCTTCAACTTTTCAAGGGCCACAGCCTCAATCAGAAGCTCCTGGTTTGACCTTAAGCTCAGACAATCTGCAAATTTTTCCAGGCACTCTGAGCTGGCTCCGGAGCCATCCATGTGCTCCCTAATGGATTTACTGATAATAGCTGATGTTTGTTCCAAACCCATTTGTTTTATTTTCTGTACAAAAAGCTGCAACCATAAAACTTTCTAATCATAGAAATCTATGGAAAGAGCTAGTCTTTAATTTACAATTAGCAAAGACCAAGAATTCACATGTTTACGGTACTCTAAGATGAGTTTTCATCTAAGAAACAATGTTTAATGGGCAGTGAACTGGATAAGCATGAGGTGTCTTCAGTGTAAAACCAGCTCAAGAAGGTAAAACTTGGGGGAAAAAATTATCATTACTAGATACCTCAAGAGATAATGTATTCAATTCAACTGGGAGATGTTGATCAGAAGATTTCAGCACCTCGAAGATTTCCACACCAGAAGCTCGAACCTTAGATATTAATGATTCAACTTGTAGAACCTAGAGATCATCCACAACAATATGCTAGTTAGAACAAAATGAGTTCAGTACAAGAGCAGCTCCAAACCATAAGCATTTTAGTTTGGGGGGGGGGTTGGTTGGTGGAGGAAATTAACTCAAACACCTGAGCATCCAATTATATATCTCATAACAGGCCACAGAAAAGTAATTATTCCTCCTTGATCTAGGAGCAACAAACCAAAGACAAATCCTAACCATCCACAGAGACGCTATCTTATACACCAAGTTCAAACCAAAAACCTAACTTTTTTGGTTCTAAGTGGGAAAGAGGAGTTCAGAACGGAGAAGTAATATCATGAAGGGGGCAGTATCAGATCACCAACACAATATAGATAAACACCAACTTTGTCACGAAGGTTTACATCCTATTTAGAAACAAAGTATTAGTCAGAAGGAATTGCCCGTAAACTCAGTAAGACCAGGTAAAGGAAAACCATTGCCAGAAAAATTGGGTCTACAAAACATCAAAGCAACTGTCCAGATGAAGAATTGGAATTGGGTCACTATAATTCCGGATTTTGTGATTGCAGTAGAACCCTTCCCATAGAACAAGTCTTACAATGCGAGTCCAGGAATAAAGTTTTAACAGAAAATGATACTAACAAGTAACAATCCTAAAGTGGAATAAGGTCCTTGCAACCTTCTACCAACAATTGAAAGATGAATAAAAGAAAGACATAATTGAAACATAGAATAAAAAGAAAGAAACAAAATGGAATCAAGAACAACCATTACCACGACCAGTTTTGGAAGCAACAACCAATGGTGATGGTGGTTATATGATGCTGAATGTGGTGGTGGTAGAAAAGAAGTCTATTGGGAGAAAAGGGAGGGCTCCCCACCCAACCCCCAAAAATAAATAAATAAAATATATATATAATAATCTCTACATCCAGCAATGCACCACCTTAAATGAACTTCCACTGCTACCATCATGACTCACTTTCAATACTTTGCAAATGCCATCACTATTACTATCACTAGCAACACCACACCACTGTCATTAAAACTCTACAAGAAATAAAGGGGCCTAATCAATCTTTGTACTGATTAACATTCTAAGCATGAGATTGTTGAGCCTACAAGGTCTTCTGGTATTTTGGCTCGATTAAATGATATGGCAAGATAGATATGCTTTTTCCAAAATTAGAAAACTAAAACTGCATGTATAAAATCAAATCATACAAAATAGATTTTACTCCTCAATGAATGCCAATTTTCAAATAGCTCCCTCAATTCGTTGACAGAATGAACCAGTTCTGCAAATGCCTTTTGGGGCAGATCTTCAGACACTATGTCAGTGCCAAAAACAGCATCAAGCAGAGTCTGTAGCAACTTCAGTATCTCTTCAATCTTTTGGTAATATTTCTGAGCTGGATCATGATTTATGTAGTCATGAGAGGATAAAAGAAAGAAAGAAGAGATGTTGTTGAGAAGCACTTTTAACAATGATATCGCCATCACGCCTGTGTCAAGAACAGAACAGATAAGCAAGTAGTTATTGATACTGAGTCACATGGATGAAGAAAATTATATGGGAAATAACAAGCCGAACCCATAGAGAAGTTAAGCTTCTTCAATAAATGCACATTAATCTCAGAGTTCTAGGAAACTTTTCACCAAATAAACTGTTGTAAATAAACAGCAATACAAATTTGATGTGTTGAATAAGCTGTTATGTTAGGCTTTTCATCATCTATGGTTTTGTTTCAACTGAAGATTATATGGGAAATAACAAGCCAAACTCATAGAGAAGTTACAAATACTATTATTAAGCTTGAACATTGATCACAGAGTTCTAGGAATCTTTAACTTTTCACCAAATGAACTGTCATAAATAGAGGCCAGTGTAATTATCAAGACTACAGAGGTAGCAAGTGGATTTTTAACAAAGTTAGGGAAGTCATGGTGAAGAATAAAAAATAATCAAAAGCAATAATTGTAGCTGAATATAGCACCTCCAACACAATACATGAAAGGCTCAGCAATTATGGAACTAAAAAAGCAAACATGCATGTTACACAACTCTAATAGAAAAAATTGTAAACTACAGCATTCAGCCACAATAAGGAAGAAATAAAAATTAATCGAACACAAATTAAAACGCAGATGTTTAGTACATAATACCAACCAAGTTTTGATACAAGCAATAACCAGACTACCAACTGGATAGAAAAGAGACACACTTTCTTTTTCTTTTCTTTTTTTTTCTTTTCTTTTTTTTTTTTTTTTTGTTTTTTTTTGGGGGGGGTGGGGGGGGGGGAGAGTTCAGATACCTGCAATTTGATGTCCCCAGTTATTTTTCTCACATCACTGATCCTTCAGAAACTAAATTACACCAAAAATATGAGAAAACCTCTTTTGAACACTCTAGAGAAGAAAGCACGTCCCAGAGTATCAAGAGATTAAAATCATATTGAGACGATCTCCACATTTTAAATTATCTGACTGGTGATACCCAGTACAAGAAAGTAATAAATTTATCGTCAAATGAAGTTATATATTTAAAATGATGACAGAATCTGCTAAAAAGAAGAAGAAAAAAAATACTGTGAGAACTGAATCTGTTGAACCCAAAATTTTGTTTTTTAGTTGCTTCAATACGATCGTTGTGGTAATTATGTATAAATTTCTCACTGTTTTTCGTGAATCACCTATTTTGTGATTTATTTGGTGTTTTCTTGTACTCTTTCTTTTGCTGTGTCTTTTTACCTTATTATCTTTTTGGGTCTAGTTATTTTTCTAATTTTTTCAAACGTGTGTTTTCAAGTATTTTGGTTGTCTATAGATATTGGCAACAATGTGGGAAGAAGTTTTATTCTAAACAATGAGATGCATCTACTTGGGTCCTTAAAAGTAATTCGGTGGGTTCTATATAAATTTAATCAAAGGTATATAGATTGGTAAATTGTGCAGAAGCAGATCTAGAGATAGGTTGGGTTGCCTGAAAAGTAATATCACTAAAAGCATTTCATATAGAGATCCCACAATAAATTATATGATGGGGATTGGAAAGGCAATAGATAACAATATGAAATTTTAGTATAATTAGTAATTATGATTTAATAGTATTTTTATTTCTTTATTAATTAGTTTCCTATTCATTGTGGTTTCGTAATTAGATAGTGATTATATCTATTTATATGGCTCCATGTAATGGTTTAGAAAATTAGTCTATGATATGCTTTGAATATTGATTGAGATATTTGATTTTGGAATTGTGAATCCCCGGTTTCTTATTCTCTTCTTCTTGGTGCTACATCATTATAAGTTGGTTCCCCTCTATTCTATTACATAGTTTTTTTAAGTATCCCACTAAAAAAATTCTACACATTATGCCCACATGGGTCATGCCCCCTCCCCCCTTTTACTTCATCCTCCCCAACCTCTTGTCCGAGGCTAGGTCAACATCAACTCTAACAAACTATGGCAAGTTCACCCCTTCTATCATGAAAATCACTGTGAAATAACTTAAGGAGAGACTCGTGAGGGCTAGCTCAAATGGTAAGTTCCCAAATAAACAACCAGGAGGTTTTAGGTTAGAGTCCTTACTTTGCTTGATATATGAGGCTAGCAGATGGCATCACATATCCAGAACTAAGTCACTTAATATGTCCATATAGTGGACAGATCACGCTACAAAATGTGAATTAGTGTATTTGATATAAAAACGGGTCAAACTTGTGGATTTGTATGGTCATTGAATTCTGTTTAAACTAATTTAATGTTGTAAGAATACTTCTTCTGACAAAGCAGAAACAAGGTGGGACCTATGCTGTTAAGGCACCGGTTCCCTACTCACAAGACAGCTCATTCACAATGGTAGTACAAGAAGAGTCAGCTTTTAAAATGATCAAAGGCTTTCAAGCATTAGTTTGTTGCCGATGTGGGATTGAAATTATTGGGGCGATGCTTTTATATTGAAACAGAAGCCTCACTGAATAGTTTGGCAACAACATGGAAAGTTTTAAAACAGACTTCTTTATTAATTTTTCCTACTCAATAACAGACTGCAACATTTTATTATATGGGTTACAATATATATTTATACACTCTCTGGAGGCACTCCCACTCTTGGGGTATTTTTATTAAAGACACTCTTGCACTCCAGCTTGGCGGATCGGTGAATTAGATCCGGTGTTTTACCCCAAGTTTCACCGAAGGTAGAATCAGGGAATTCCTCACTTAAAAAATAATAATTTAAAAAAACAAAAAATAATAAAATAACAAAATCCCCTTAAAGACAGAAAGTCAATTAGAAAACACAATAGCAGACAAATCAAATCTAAATTCTTCACATCAATTCTCATGATGGGATTTCAAATTAGGAATTAACTCAAACAAGGGCATAATAGCTACGAAATTTAGCAACTACTTAACTTTAATCTATATAATATTATAAAAACAACACTTTCTTCTCTCCTATCTGAGTCTTTTGATGCTTACCTTATTTTCCATTTTCTTTTTATTACATCTATATCCAACCACACATTAATGTGTACTTCTTGGGCGTTGTTTTTTTTTTTTACATCTATATCCAACCACCCAAAGTGACACTTAAGTTGGTTATGTAAAAGAACCCAGAGAGACATCATGGAATGACAACCTCTACCCAACTGCCAAGTCACAAAATCAAGTTTAGTTCACTTAAACTACCAAATGGACATTATGTGAGAATTGTCATTCCTTAACATATCGTGTTTCCTTCTTAGACAATGAAACATCTACAAACAAATGCCTGCTATATATATATATATATATATAAATCTAGGACCAGATCAAACATTAAGCCTAGAGAAGTAGGTATGTGATTGATGTCAACCACGACATTAGTACATGCCCTCTCTATGTTCTGTACTAAGTTTTCTAGCAGAACAGCTTTGGATGAAGAAGTAATCTAGTCAATCGTAACAGTGGGCATTTAAACAGGGAGGACTACATGGAGCTTGTTAAATTCGAGAGGATTTCGAGGACTAATAGGACGAAGAAATGGGGGATGTCGTGTGATGGAGGTGGTGTTTGGGGTTATGAAATGATGGCAAGGTGGGCCCTAATGACTTTAAGGGCTATCTCAAATAGGCTATCAATGAAGGTGATATCATGGTTGTTATGTAGAAAATATCTATGAGATAAGGGCTATGATAAGATTAGGCAGTGGGGATGAAAAACTATGACGGTCATCTCAATATATTGGCCTTTAAATAATGATGACAAACTAAGCCTTGAGACATTGATTTTAGACCATTTTTATTTGTATCCTGTTTTGTATACAACAATAATCAATGATTAGTAAAGCACATTATTCATAAAAGAAGCAAATTATTTAAAACTATATTGAGTTTCTTTTTTGAGAATAAAAAGAAGCTCATCATCATTCATCACTACTTTATCAGCAGCTTTTGAAGCTTAATTAAAACTATTTTACTATTTTTCCCCCTCAATCCTTTTGCTTAAATGAACTTGTCCTCATTCTACATTGCTTGGCATTTATACAGCATACATACATCCTTCTTATATAATTAGAGAGAACCTAAAAGATATTATATTTTTGTTTTGCAAGTAGGTGTAGATTGACTAGTTTTATTTGTCCTTTTATTTGTATATGTGTATCTTAAAAAAATTGATTGGATGGACACTTATTGTACATACTACATGCCTTTGAATTAATGATTGTGTTTTTAAATTTTTTTTCATGGATGGTGACGAATTTCACATGTGGCTTCTTGAACTTGTATTCAATTCCATGGTTACATTCAAGAGCTAGATGAATGTGGGAAATTCGTATACGTGGCGGATACGTCTCGAATTTCAAGTACGAATTTCCCATGTTGTGGTTTGTTTTGTATTCGACTCTCATTAACGGCACAATAAGATAACTATAGCAATATATAGATATGGGACAGAACTTCCCTTGTTCATCCAAGGAAAATACCCACTTAACCTGAATAATAACAAATTTACCAATTAGTTATTTTTCCCTTTCTCCTTTCAAGCTGACGTTCCATAAACTGTTCAATAAATTGAAAGATGGTGCTTTCGGCAATCACATAATCTAATCACGTTAAAATGAATCATTAAGCCAGGCTGCAGCTAATGAGACTGAGAGGCCAAAACCTACAAACGCATCTATATGACCATGCCACAAACCACGGTCCATACCAGTTATTCAGAATCCTACAATCTCACAAAGTTGAAACTTGTAACATACACATTGACAACAAATCTCCAAGAAAACAGTTTGTCAGGCAAAAATTTGCAGCCAGGAACAACTAGCCATCAAAAAGAACATAAAGACAGATTTTTCGATACTGAAAACAACAGACATAAGCAGAAACATACTCAAAATTGAAGACATAATACAGTCTGATCAATAAATTCAGTCGATACAGAGTTTGAATTCGTATGCATATATATAGAGAACTGTAAAAAAAAAATTATGTATAAATGAGATGGATCTTTGTTCATCTGTTCAAATTCGAAACAGGTTAATTGGAATGATAAGCAGAACTTGATCGATCAATCTCTCGAAGCATGAGCATGAGAGCGAAATTCAGATACAAAAAAAATTGAAACCCTAGATGGACCAAACCAAGAGAGAGAGAGAGAGAGAGAGAGAGAACCAGAATGGAGAGAAGACAAGAGCAAAAGTGTTGGTCTTTGGCCCTCTTCGCAACCCCTACTCCACAAGGAGCTCTGAAATTTTGGTTTGGGTCTCTCTGCTGGGTTTTTCCTTTGTCATGGTGTCTTTTTATTACTCATTTTATGCCACTCTAGTCTAGTAGTAGTTGAAAGATACTATATATTATTACATTTTTCTTATTAATTAAAGATATTGTCTTTGTATCCAACAAAATAACAAGTTACTTACAGTTGAAGCGTGTGTCAAGTGTGTGTTATCTTAGACAAAAAATAATTTAAATAAATTTAATAAATAAATTATTAAACTACTATTATGATAATACTGTTAAAATTTTGTGTTTATGATGTAAAATAAATAAATAAAAATTGTTTTCGTTTTGGTTTTGGTTTTTGCTTTTGTTTGTGTATAAAAATATATTTTTAAAAAAAATAGTACGTTGTGAGGGTGGAATTGTACAGTGACTGACAGTGGAGTGGTCAGGCGAAAGGTGGTCAAAGTTCGTCGACAACTAGAAGTGTTGGAGATAAGTGGTGGTCAAAGGTGATAAAAATGATAGAGAGAGTAAAAAAAAAATTTTAAATCACCTAAAAACACATTTTTTATTCTAAAAGTTTGAATACTGTTAGCTATATATTTTGTAAAAGCCAGTTACGATCCGACACGTGGCAGAATAAGGGTATTATTGAAAAATAATTTAAGTCTCCAATCCTGATCGTACACGTGGTGATGATAATTGGTTCTCACATGGTCTGAGCAACATTGGATCAGTAAAGAAACGCAAGGTGACGTGGCTTCAACGGTTACTCATATTCAAATTCAAATACAGGAGGGAAGCCTAACTGCAAATGATGGCATAATGGAGCTACTTCTAAGGCAACATGATCAGCGATCATGGAGGAGCAGTTCGACGGTTCGAAGAGCAGTTCGAAGGTCATCTTTGACAAGTATAAATAGCAGAGAGACCCCCAGGAAAAAGGGAGGAACTCAGATCATAGATACCAGTCTTTATTTCATATTTTACTTTCTAGTTTTACATTCCTGTACTTTCAATACCTGCACTTTACATATCTGTACTGCACTTCAATTCATAGGAGTAGTCTCAAGTAGATTCAAGTAGATTGTTGCTGCAAACCTCTTCGAGACTGAGTTTGGACTATTGTAAGTTTTTCATTTTTATGAAATACTTCTATTGCTCTTCATATTAATTGTTATTTCTCTTAATTTCTCCTAAGTCAAGCTACCAGTAAAAGTCCTCTTCATTGAGGCTGAAAGAACTAAAACACAATCGTCTGGTAATTGGTTGGCAATCACAATTTCTGTAAGGACTGATTGATCCTTCCTGGCACGCTCACATTTACAAAAATACCCTTCGAAAAGCCAAAAAGCCAACAAATACACTAAACAAGTTTTCATTTTTTTACAATTAAAACAAAACAGGAAGACAGAGAAATGAAAGAGTCAATAAATGAGGCTTGATGAGCAAAGAGAGCTGTTTTTAACTTGTATTTTTTTAAAAAAATTTATTCTTATATAAAATTCATATATAAAACTTGACAAGAATAATGTGATAATATCATCATTGTAAATAAATTCATTTTTAATGGTATTTTATTTTGAAGTGAAAAATTCACAATAAGCCATATTATTATGAAAATTATTTCTACACACCTGATTAGTTCATGGCACACACTTAATGAAATATTAATTTAATGGCAATTATATCTTAAATAAAAATTACCAGCAATACCCATAATTTTATATAGAAAACTTCTCTATACACATCTTTTAAGAATAAAAAAAATCTCAATTGACACCTTTTGAATTAAAAAAATTAAACCCTAATTTTTTTATTCACTTTATAGTCACTTGTGATGTTTTTAAATGACTGTTAAATTTGGCTTGATTTATTTTTGGCTTGATTTATTTTCTTCTCCTGTAAGTATATCAGATTGGTATAAACAACTTTCTTATTTGTTAGTTGTTACTACTAATATCAGTTGACTCTAATAACAGGCCTCATCCAAATGATGAATGTTCGGATGGAGACATTACTTTGCTCTTGGGACTCTGATCTGATTCCTCTACAGCAAATCAAACCCATGGATTATACCCCTGCACAAAGTATGCTGTTGGATCATGACGTTACAATTAAGGTAGTACCTTCCGCATATTTATATATTGCAGTAATTTTCTTGACGTTAAAATATGCTATTGGAATTTTTCAGACTTTAGCTTTCAAGGTTTCACCTGGGTGGAAGTTTTCAGACTTTGGTCTTCAAGTTTTCAAAAAGTGTGCGGAAAGAAAGAGAGGGGTAAGTGGTGTGTACAATAATATTTGAGTTGAGGTTATAATTGTATTTTTTAATATGTGAATTGAAAAAATTAATCAATAAATAAATTAATATGTGTGTATTGAGAAAAGATATGTTCTGAGTTATTTAAGTGTGTTAAAATAGAATTTCTCACCTCATTATATATGAATTTTGGAAGGTTCTATTTACACACCATGAATTCTTATCGAAAACAAAAAACTCTCCACACAATCACCTATACACTATATCAACAAATCTCTCTTCCAACATTGTTCATTTTCACCGTTATAATCTAATACATTACACTTATCATGTTTTCCATTATAACCTAACATACAACACTCATCATTTTCACCAATGTAATTTTCACTATTATTTTCTAAACTCAAAACATTATTGTCTTTGAAAATTTAGGGTTTTAAGAATATTGAAATCAATTGATTTTGAAAATTTGTATAACATGAATAACATTCAGATTGTTGATTTGGAACAATACAACAATGAAAATGTTATTTTACATTTTTATTTATCTCATCCGTATAGAAAATGGCTTGTTTGTTCGTCACGTATTCAAAGAATCAGAGTTGAATATTTATAAAATGTTCAATTATTTATATTTGAACAAAATTATTTTGTTCAAATTATTAAGATTGATCAAATATTAAATGTTTATACATAAAAAATTGAACATTTTGATTGTGGTGTGTATCAATTTATTAGCTTAGGGTTAAAAAGAAAAAGTTATGGTGTGAACTGAGATATTTTAACAATCTAAAAATTATTATGTATATTTACTAAATAATGGTGTGAATTGAGATATTTTAACAATCTAAAAATTATTATGTATATGTACTAAATAATGATGTGTACTGAAAGGATTGATGGTATGTAAATAAAATTACCCATAAATTTTTTATTTGTATAGCATTACGCATTTTTTATTTGTTAGACAATCTTCGCTGTATTTAGTAAAATGAATTATGTTTGTGTACTAAACAACAAATGGAATACAAAAGAAATATAGGAAAGAAGAGAGTTTGTTTGATTACAAAAAATCAAACTAGAAACTAAAATAAATAAATAAAAACAGACTTTATTTTGTTACAAAAACAAAATCAAAATCTGATATAAATAAATAAAACATAAAACAAATTAACAACTTACTTGATTAATTTCTTGAATAATATTCTGATCAAGTCCAGTGTTTAACACTATGTCCTTAAGACAGATTCGTCCTCTCCACGATCCTTTCAAATTTGCGGACGTCTATCTCCCAAGATAAAATGGTCAACAACGAATAAATGCAGCACTACAATTTATTCGCACAATGAACATACTTTGTGTTTACACTCTTTCTCACAAGAAAATAATGCAGCAAAATGAGATAGAAAAGAAGAATATGAGAACGAAAATTGGAGTGAAAAACAAATGAGGGACTTGTTTTATTTATAGATGCAGTGGTACCCCTTTAGTTTGAATTAAACAGGTAGCATACTTGTTTGAACAGATACTTAACCTGTTGGGTTTGAATTGGAACTGTTTGGGTTCAAATTTGAATTCGGACAGATATCAACCTGTATAGCATTCCAACCGGGTTTTTTGAAATTTAAACAGATTCAAATTTGTCCAGGTGGGAAAAAACCGAACCTAATTTTGAATTTAATTTTCGAAATTCAAATTCAAAAAATTTAGAATTTAATTTTAGAAGAGTACAATTCAAATATTTTCGGCCTAAAAAGATAAGTATTGGGCCAGACAAGCCCAACCCAACCTCACACCACGCACCCGCACCCAGGCCCAGCTCCAGCCCGCCGGGCGGCGGCGCATGCGTGCGTGTGTGGTTATTTTTGGGTCCAATGGGTCTAGCCCAATTTGCCTATAACCTCTCCCTTTTACAAACTTTGGGCGCTCCTTGGGGCCCTTCCCAAGTTATAATTCCAAGCTTTATAAACCCATAAACTTCCTCCCACCAAACCAATGTGGGACAAGCCTTTATTCAAACCTTTTAGGATTTTCTACCAAAACTCCATTTCCATGGGGCACACTTTGGCTTCAATTTCTCATTCACCCGATAATGGTTTTGAGCAACCAAATATACCACGTGAATCACAATGTGACATAGAACGCGTTGCCACTTAGACCTGCCAAATTTGGCGCACGAGTCGCACCTAAAAATTAGACAAAAGTTTAGAAAAAATTCTGTTTTTCCAGATTTTTTCAAAAATCATTTCTAACAATCCTCCACATGAATGAAATTTGATGACAACGGAAATGCAACAATATGCAGAATTTGTCGAAAGAGTATAAATCGAAATATCTTGCATCAAGATAGGTAGCTTTTGACTTTGAACCTTCCCTAGTTATAACCTATCGGACTTACTAGCTAACCAATAGACGTGATGCCTTAAATTGTTCAGCCGTTTTTGTAAGCCAAGATAATAGATTTCACACAAAATATCTTTTGATACATTGTGATTCTCATGGTTGTGTTCATTTTGGTCTTGAACACTCCTGGTTGTTCGTGAGTGCTTCTAGAGAATTTAGCCTCTTCATTCTCATAAAACCGGCCCCAATTCGTACTCGTCTTGATTTTTATGCCTAGATCAAGATATAAGTAATCATTACAAGCAAAGCTTATCCTTAGACCCCTGCAAACAACACATGTTGCAGATATCACTTTCACCATAGGAATGGGTAGGGAATTTTAATCCCTTGGTGATTTCTGTTGAGCCACACATAACTTAGTTGTCCCTTTGAACTTAGTTCTTGGGATCTCCAGTCATATAAGTAGGGTTACCATTATGATGACTCTTATGTAATAGCTT